AAGACTTTCAACTTTAACTTGTTAAGAGATAGACTGCACTTTTCAGTGGTCACCTCTCTTCCAGTAAGAAGAGCAAGATAATCAAATTTGCTCTTTTAGTATCTCTGAAACTAGGAGCTTGAATAACAGATACCTGTACCATTTGGCAGGAAGGCACCTGAAGTTGAATGGATGAAGATTTCGAGATCTTTGTGCCAATATGTTTAGTTTAGGAATGTGAAATTTGATATTCTACTCGGGCAAAACAATTTTTACAACCATGAGCTGGAACAAAATTTAGTCACAATTAGTAACCCACAATCCCTTTTCTTGTCTCTCTCCATTTTGGATTTGTTAAGTTTCCATTCTTGGGTGTCAACCCGTTGTCTGCATCTATCCCACCTTTTTCTTCACTACATCTCCTCTGCCTTTTCTATGATCCGCCAACTGTTCCTTGGATAATCCTTCCAGCCGATTCATCAACACTTCTTTTGGCCAGCAAAAGTTATCCTGTCTTGGTCCCGCCCAGGATGTTCATTTGCTCAATCCTCCTGATACCATTCAAGAAAATTTGATGTGATTGACCTTTAGAATCGTGTTACTATTAAGAGATAATCCAAGGATCTCAAAAAGTTTGAAAGATGAAGAAAACTTTTATGTTATTACTTTTCTAGTTAGCCTCTTTATTCCTTGCAACTAATACTAATTTACATAATATAATAAAACAAAACATAACAAAAGTAAACTTTTAGTAGTTGACAGCCTTAACCTCAGTTCTTTTTCTTCCTCCTCTGGTAGGCTTTGTCAAATGGCAAAATACTATTAACACTTTGGTTTAGGTTTTAGAAATTCATATGGAGTTTTCTATTTGAGATATTCTGAGAAGGTTAATATGGGAATATTAGGTTGTAACAACACACTTACCAGAGGAAAAAGGAAAATGGTCATAGAACTTCTCTATAACAAGGTGGTGGACCTTTTTTTCCAGGACTTGGGCATCCACTGAATGAATTGACTTGAAACACAATGAGGAGCTTCCTCATGAGAATGTGTTTTCTCTACGAGCTTCTTTTTCCCTACTGCATGAATCATTGTGCTGTAAGTTGTGGCGTTTGGAGTGCCTTGTTTTGATAAGGTTGTGTTCTTATGCCTGGATGTTTCCAGTTATTCTCTTCCCTTCCCAGCTGCATGTGCTTATAAAGATTTATCTCGATGAAATATCAGTGCATGATATATATGACATGATGGTTCGTGCTTCGGAATGCCCTGCTTATTTATGTGCAAATGGATATCTTCTTGTTTTCTGCCTTTAGATTTGACTATACGTGTTCTGTTCTCTCTTTTTTTTCTTTTCTTTTGGCAGCCATTACATAGGGAGTTATATAATCTGCACCCTGCAGCTTTTTTTGTTCCTGAATTTCTCAGAGCAATAAATGATAGTACAGAGGACAGCTTCAGAAGAATTATGTCTGAACCGTCTCCAGGGGTGTTTATATTTGAAATGCTTCACCCTCACTTTTGTGAACTATTGTTGACTGAGGTGACTTCCATCTTTCTGCTTTTCCGCACACATATCTACGTATATGTATATTGCCTAGCATTTAGAAGTTTCTTATATATAAGTACTATCTAGCTTTTCATTTGTTCATTGCATTTATTCTCTTACACTGCCTAGGTTGAGAACTTTGAGAAGTGGGTTAGTGAAAAGAAATTCCGAATCATGAGGCCAAACACAATGAATAAGTATGGTGCTGTTCTTGATGATTTTGGCCTAGAAACCATGCTTGACAAGCTTATGGAGGGCTTTATTCGTCCTATATCAAAAGGTTGTTCATGATTGCTCCTAGTGAATATGCTTTTGCTCCTATATTATGTTTGGTTCATTTCTTATTCCATTTCCAGTCAATTCTACTTCTAATTCTTATAATAGTTTTGAAAATATAATTAGAATATAATTTGTTCATTTAATTATTACTAGCCTCACCTTGAATTACTTGATGTTGATAATTCAATTCCTAGCTTCAGAGTTAGGAATATATTGTCACTACTAAGAAATTAAGTATGACATGGTGGAAACTTAAACATAAATTATGTTCAGTTTATGCATATTGTGAATAGTAGCTAAAACTTGAAAATGATTATGAATCGAATGAGACTTTACCCAAACACAACCATGCTGATGTTGACAGTTTTTCATAAAAGTCTACTTGTTATAAAATAAATTAAATATACTTTTAATTAAATCTAGTGCTTTATTCTTCATGCACAGTTTTCTTTCCGGAAGTTGGTGGATCAACTCTTGACTCTCACCATGGTTTTGTAGTTGAATATGGAACCGATAGGGATGTTGACTTGGGTAGGTGTTTCCCTTCTTGCTTTGTTTTAAGATTGATTTTCTGCAGATTTATATAATCAAGCTACAGCTTTGAGTATCTTTTATATGATATGCTTTAACTGACTTTTAAATTTAGTTCAGCAAGGAATGCAATACCAGTATTAATCATAAACATTCTTGATGTACGACAAAGAGAATTTGAATGTAAGACTTAAAGAAAATTATTTAGGAATCAAGTCTAGAGATCTTGGATCTCAATAATTAAATCAGTAATTCAATGTTTTCATAATGATCATATGAATAATCTACCTAATAACTAAATTAGGATACTCAATTTTTAGTACAAAATACAATCAAAATAAGAAATCTTTGTAGGAATTCCACTAATAGGAATAGCTAAGTAGTTGATGACTAAATAGAATAACTAATAGCATCCTACCTAATAGGAAATAGTAAAGTCATATTAATATAAGTTTATAGTTAGCAATTACTAAATA